TTGCCACTTATTCAATTTTACTTCAAACTAAAGTTAGAGAAAAAAAAACTTCGAATGTTTTTTATTTCAATTTATTTTTGTTAAAATGTTAGCTTTTGTTTTCAAAATATTTAAATGTTTTTTGAGGGAAAAAACTTTTTTTTTTTTTTTGGTTAACTCGAAATTAAATGATTTTTTTTAAAGTTGTTTCCGTGTTATGGTAATTAACAGGCTACACTCAAAGCAAGGATACAAAGGGACGACAATTTTCCAGAAACAACGAGAGGAAAACGCATGTACACACAAACACAATTTAAAACGAGCCAAGGACAATTATATTCTTATTAAGACAAGAGACCCAAACAACATGCTCAACAACTGCTTCACCATCTATTATTGTAAAAATAATATTCTTCTTTTTTTCACAATATCAAAATTTCGTCAGATGTTTAATTAGATTGTATAGAAAAAATGCAAACTGGAAAGTTCGAAACAGGAAATGATTTTTTTTCTTTGTTGTTTTTTTTTTTACGAAATGATAAAATGCCGAAAAATAACTACCTTTTGGAAAAGGGGATTTTCGGAGTTTTCAACAAAATGAATACATGAGATGCAAGATCCCGTTTACGGAAAAACAAAAAGTCGTGACCGCGTCGTTTTAAATCGGGTTTCTTTTTTACTCAAATGCGCTCAAAATAACTTGGTTTTCCTTGGTTAGGTGGAGAACAAGTCTGAAAGGAAAACGGATAAGAAAACTGATAAATTTTAGAGGTTTTGTTATAAAAACAAGTTTTGTTTTGCTCTCAAACTCGCTCTCCTCAGAGTAGTTACACGCAAATTTGTCCGCTCAACTCGGGGTTACAAATCAATATCAATGTACAAGTAAACATATATTGATTAATGCAAACATTTATTCTTTTATTAAGACATGTACATTTTGTCAGATCTTTTCTCTTCTTCCTTTTTTCTTCGATGATGTTCTTGTCAAAAATTATTTCTCAATTCTCTCTTTTTTCTATGTCTTCTGTTGTTGAATTCGTGACATGCAGCTGTTGAATATATTTTCCAAATAATGTGAACTGCGCAGTCGGTTGTGTAGTTTTGTTTTCACAGATTGTTTTCAAGGGTCAAACGGAAAAATCTGGTGTGCCAGTCTGAGGAAAAATACATCTTCCCAATTGTGTACTTGATTACACCTGATACACAATTATCTGCTAAGTATCAGGGATCAGGTAAGATAAAGATACCCACAGGGCTTTATAAGATACGCTGCTTTCCTACGGAAACTAATCCACAACTTCGAACTCAATGGCTACACCGCTGATCTAAATTCTAGTAACCTGACCCGACTTGCTCGATCAAAACTCCCAGTAAGTCTACTAATGAAGTGGGAAGAACACTGCGTGCTGCACGATCTCGATTATGCTACAATCAAAGACTTGACGCAGTCAGTACCTCAATAACTACCCGCGAGCATGCGAGAACCTGGACATAGAGCCGTCGACTCCAAACCAAGCGGGACGAAATCGCCAACCTAAGAAGCAACAACAACCCGACAGCCGACCTAACCAATTTACTTCTATGTCCAGGCAAAACTACGACAAATCTTCAGGCATATCAGCAAGACCAACAACTTTAACATGTCCAATAGATAACCAAGTTCACTACGTTGGAAAATGTGCGGAATTTTTGAAACTTCCCGTAGATCAACGGGCAGAGCTGGTGAAGCAACATAAGCTGTGCTTCAACTGCTTAGGCCAACACAGATTTAGTGAATGCACATCGTCTAAGCGATGTTTCATCAACAACTGCGGAAGGAAACACCATTCAACTCTACACATCGACAAAAAAACCATTTCAAACGCACAACCAAAAATCAAATAACATGCAGCTTGGCACTACAGTAACCAAGCCCTCGGAACAAGCTGAGGATCCAATCCAAAATATGAACAACATCAGAAATCAGTTACAATTTATGCCGGTAACACTGTTTAACAATGGCCTCAAACTAGATTGCTACGCCATACTCGACAACTGCAGCAGCTGCTCATATATCCTCAGCAAAACAGCTGAAACACTTCAGTGCAAACCAAGCCAACAACTACAGCTTAGCGTACGAGGTGCTTTCAGTAAGGACAAAGTGTCTTCCTCGCTGGTCCGGCTTAGTATCGGACCACATAACGCTACAAAACCTACTTTCACCCTACAATCAGTCTATTCAGTTGAAGCTCTGAGTTTTGACGCTATCGACGCAAACAACTTTAACAAAACGTGCTCACTCTACAATCACCTTCGACATGTCAACTTTCCTGAACTAGGCGACAACACAGTTCAAATTTTGTTTGGCGTAGATGCTTTCTGGAATATTGCGGAGCGCGATATCAGAAAAGGTCCTACAGGCACCCCCAACGCTGTAAAAAACCTACTAGGTTGGACGATCACTGGCCCACTCAACCAGAAATCTAATAGTTCCGGATCAAATTCACACTCAACTAACTTCATTGACTTAAATGATCAAGAAGACGCTAATCTCACTGAATTAGTGGAAAATTTCTGGAAAGTAGAAGGATCAGGCATCCAGGAAGATAACAAAGCTACATACTCTGATAAAAGCAAACGACAACTAAGATTTATGGAAAAGTATTGAGCACGATGGAGATCGCTACAAAATAAATCTACTCTGGAAAAACGAAATAAAATTGCCAAACAATTATCCGGTAGCTAAAGCTCAACTGCTATCGCTACAAAAAGGGCTCAGAAAAGACCCTGAAACCATGCAACTCTATGAGAAATCGCTTACTACCGACCTGGAAATAACTACGTCAAGCCCGTTACTTTCCAATACCCACAACCTGAATTACTTTGGTACCTCCCACATCACCCTGTAACTAATCCAAACAAGCCCGGAAAGGTACGCAGAGTGGCCAACGCTGCCTCAACCTACAAGGGCGTCTCGCTGAACTCTTGCCTCGAAACTGGACCTGACCTCCTGAACAACATGTTTGAACTTCTACTACGATTCCTGGAAAAACACCTGGCTGTATCGGCGGATATTGAAGGTATGTTTATGCAAATAGGTATTAAAGATGAAGATCAAAATGCGCTTTGCTTCCTTTGGCCTACTAAAAATGGTATCAAACAATACCAATACACGCGACTTATCTTTGGTGCAAAATGCTCACCATCCATTGTCATCTTTGCGCTTCATCAAACAGCTGCCGATTATTGCGTAACCAAACCCATTTTTGCACAACTGCTTCACAAAAGCTTTTACATGGACGACTTTGCTCTCTCTTTCAACACGACAAACGAGGCTAGAGACTCTACTACGCAACTAAAATCCTCCCTAAGACAGGGGGGATTCAACCTAACTAAGTTCGTATCTAACACTAATGTCGCGATCTACTCCATTGATGGAGGCGAAATTTCTACTAATGCTACAGTGCATCGTGTTCTGGGTGTCAAATGGGACACAACAGACGATACGATATTCGTGCAACCAACAACCAAGCTAAATAATACTACATCATCTACAGTCCGAACAGTTTTCCCTACAGTAGCAAGGGTTTTCGACCCCTTAGGCATCCTAGCGCCGTTTGTCATAAAACTCAAAATTCTTCTGCAAAACTTGTGGAAGTCTGGTATCTCTTGGGACGAAACATTGCCCAGTGACTTTGTTCCGATAATTGACAAATGGGTTGACCAACGCAAACAAAAACCCCCTGTTAGACTGCCGCGCTTACTTGGTCCACAGCTGTCACCTATTGATATACAGCTTCATGTTTTCTACATAGCAACAAAGGATACAACTGAAAAAAGCTATATTTGCCTCTTCACATGCCTCTCTACTTGCGCGGTTCACCTGGAATCGACATACAACCTTACTACGAACAACTGTATAACGGCAATTAGACGTTTCATTGCTAGGAGAGGCACACCTAAGCTTTTAATCTCTGACAACGCTACTTACTTCGTCGGCGCGCTTAAGCAACTACGCTCAGAACCAATCAACTTCAACGAAACCACCCTAACTGAAACGCTACAAATCCACAATGTTGAATGGCGCCTAAATCCTCCGGCTGCCCCCCATTTTGGCGGCGTGTGGGAGCGATTCGTCTCATTGATAAAACGAGCATTCTTACTAAATCTCGGTTCTGATCGACTATCAAGAGATCTATTTGCTACTATCGTAGCCGAGACCGAGGCAATCCTCAACTCACGTCCGCTAACTCATGTCAGTAGAGACCTTGACGACGACCTTCCACTGACACCCAACCACTTCTTAATGGGTCGTCCATTCGTCTACGCTCCAGCAGCAGCCTTCTACGAAGCATCTACCAGTAAACTGTCCAACAAGCCTTGGAAGCGAGCAAAAGATAGACTTGACAGCTTCTGGAGGTGTCTACTTAAAGAGTACGCTCCGACTCTCATCAGAAGGACTAAATGGACGCAACCCGAGGAACCACTCGAAAAGGATGACCTCATGTGGATACTTGAGGACTTTACACCACGAGGCATCTGGCCACTGGGTCGAGTGTTAGAAGTTTTTACCGGCTCGGATGGCATCGCGCGCTCGTGTAAACTGAAAACAGCCCTAGGTACTTTAACGAGACCAGCGGTGAAACTTGCCCTCGTAACCCCAAAAAAGAAGATTTAAGACCACTTTAATTGTATTACAACAACAATAACAAAAAAACTTGGCTCAACTCCTTCCCCTTCGGTTCCAAATAAGATCTCTCTCCCCCGAGGATATTCATGACATGAATTGTCTCACATTAATTATAGAAAAATGCGGTAAAATCTTTTAAAATAGCATGATTTGTTCCGAGCTAATGAGTAATAAATTTGACTTCAACAAAGTGACTTTCAAGATATGTTCAGCAAATTGTCTTGAATATACCCTATCCGAAATTACTCTATGAGTTAGAGAATCAATCTTAACTCAAAATACCAACCAATAAACTAATGCAAAAAAGTTACAACCAGGACATCCTGACCGTTGTTGTTGTCGTCTGACTTACGTTGTTTTGCCGCTACCGGTGGGTCCCATGATAGCATTCAAGCCTGGTTTGAAGATGCCACTAAAGCAGTCATTATATCAATGAAAATGAACAGATAACAAAAAGCATAATTCAAAAGGGGGAATATCATTATTAAGTCCTTTCGCAATGCTTTTATGGGCTTAAACGTTGGGCTAGTAATTTCGCCATACTTTTATGGGCGAGTTTTTGATACGGGCGTTATTCATTTGAGATATGAAGATATTTTCAAATTGATGATATTTTCGAATAACTTTTGAACTTTTGGCAAATTTCAGTTATTTTTGATCGCAGTTTATCTCCCAGTAAGCTCTGGTGAACTTACTTGACCCCGTGCAGTATCTGTTTTCGGTCGTGACCTTTGCAGAAGCCCTTAGAAACTTTGACGTGGTAGTTGAGGTTGTGGAAACTGAGAGAGGAGTGGGTCCCAGTCGCACTCTTCTGCCTCAGGAAAAAAGACCTAAAAATAATGTGAAAACATATTTAACAAGGAAGCAATTTTTCAACACGGAATCATTTTTGACAGAGATTCATGATTCATTATTGAGCTATCGAAGCAAAAAATATTAAGAAATATCAAGATTCAATTGACGATTTTCGACTGACCTAAAAATGGCTGAATGAAAAAGATGGCTGAATGAAAAGAATTGGATCTTTCCTATAATAATACTCAAAATTACTACCAAAAATTATAGCTAATTTATTTTTTTATATTTTATGTTATCTAGTGCAGGGAGATGTCAAGTCAAAAAGTAATGATAAACCTACCTTTCTATTATAAGAACAAGCAACATATTTGAAATTTTCAGGAACAACGATATCGATTTAGAAAATTTTGCAAGCAAAGCGAGCTTTTCTCTCTACGAATCTTAGATAATTGGATAAAACCTTGCATAAATTGAATCCACAATTTGGCCAATTTGTCAATTTCAAACCCTCATAACTCAACAAAAAAAGCTATATTTTTTTGTCATTCGTTCGTTCTCAAAAATTCGATAACTTCAATGAAGCGTAGAAAATTTTTGAAAAAACATTGTAATTAAAACATTGGATTATATCTATTTGAAAAAAAACCAAACCGAATAAATGATCCCTTACTTTTTCCAAAAATCTAGAAAAAACTACTCCATCCTTAAAAACAGAAAATATACATTTAGGAAATTAGTCTGTTCGCTTTTACATCCAATTTTTTTTTTAAAACTAGACACGACGGTTAGTTAAAAAACAAACGTGGTCCTAAAAACCCATTTAGCTTGAGGCCGCTGTACGGCACGGATATACTGAGTGCGCTTTTAGGTCTATGAAGTAAATTATGGTTTAGAAAAAATTGATATGAAAGTGATACTTTTCGCTACTTCTAACTTATTAGGAAAATCAAAAAAATTACTTGAATTCAATTTGGAGTGGTTTCTGAGTTGTTTAAATTGTCACTAGCCATTATTAGAGCAGAAAGTATTGAGCGTGGTCAAATTCGCACTGTGTAAAAACCTGCGAAATTTAAAGACATCTAGCTAAAATTGTGTCTGTTTAGTCAAAAGTTCACACCACTTTTGTCGACGCTGAGATAAATTTTTAACATCTTTTGAAATCATGATTAAATTGGCTTCAAAATGATACCCCGCTTGGCGCCCTACGAGCTGTCATTGAGGTTCTGTTCAAGTCGGACAGAAAAAGTTCCAAAAGCCATTGTTCCGTTAAAAAATTTATGGTTTATGGAGTTTTTTCCGTCCGACTTTAATGAAACCTCATTGAAAGCTCGAGGGAGCCAAGTGGGTTATCATTTTGAAGCCAATTTAACCATGATTTGCATTTCAAAAAAAATAAAAATTTATCTCAGTGTCAACAAAAACTGGTGTGAATTTTGGCTATGCAGACACAAATTTGGCTAAAAGCAGATGTCTTCATTTTGAAGAGAAGTCTTGATTTAGAGGATCACTACATTTATAATTTGACACAGGCACGAACCAAAGTGTAGCCCATTTCATGGTTTTAAATGGTTTCAATTTTTTGCCAACTGATCATCAAGTTCTTGATATTCTTTTTGACAAAACCATTTCTACTGACTTCAAAGGAAACTCGACAATAAATCACAATCTTTAGTCCATAACCTTCCAAAATATTTGTCTGAGAATTTTTGTCATTTTTGGAATGGCTTTTTCGTCATTTTTTCTGAAATGTTTTGCATTGCTTAAATTTATAACTAAGTAGGGTCTTCCTTGTGATTTAAGCAAGGTCTGAAAATTGATTTGGTTGCCCTACAAAACAAGTCGATCAAAAATATCGGTCAAGATCATTGGTTTCTACCTGGACAGTTCGACCTGCGTGCCCTTGGATGTCCTCTGGCGCAGACTGACCTCTCTCTCCTTCTCCCTCTGGACCAGCTGCTGGGTTATAGAGGGAGCTGCCACTTTGTTCACACCTTCTTCGGTTGAGGGATGGAACACATTATCCTCGTCGTTATCCTCCACTAGAACTCTCTAGCGGAAAAATGAAATGAAAAATAATGGGACCATGTGAAAAATACTCCTCCGCCTAAACCATGATATTCTCCCGAAATTGGTTTAGGGGGAAGATTCAGTAGCGGATTTAGACAGGGAAGTTTTCAAAATAGGGTCTTAATAGTGATTTTGGAGAGCTCTGAAAACCAGTTTTATTCAACCTAAGAAAAATAAACTTTTGAAATTTTTTTGAAAATCCCCCCCTCCCGAGAAAATCCAAGATATGCTCCGGGAAGATTGATCACTATAATGGGATCAAAAAAGGTTGCTTCTGAGTTATAACCGATGGTCTTAACTCATAGAGTAATTTCGGATAGGGTACACCGTCTGCTCGTCACGCTATCTTCGGCCGGATAGATTCGTGCAACTTCTTAGTCTAATACCGATCCTAATCTTACTCTTATACTATTCTAGTCTCAGGTTGTTTAACTAGTCTCTGCTAGGCTCAATAGATCTAGGGTATACTGGTTTATTGCGGCTGCTGAAGTTCTCTTGGAGAGGCAACTAATTTCTAAGTTAAATTCAAATCTCTCTGGTGCTGAAATTACAAGTAATTTCAGCACTTACAAATAAGTGGGTTGTTAGTTAGATGGATCATGATTGGTTAATATTGAATTTTTTACAGTGGTAAAATATCTAATTTATCCAATCATAAAATGTAGTTTAGATCAGGTTCCACCCATCCGGGTTTTACAGAGTTTTTTAGATTAGTTTTTCTGCAATTCAAAGGATGGATGATGGACGTTGGTATTTGGCGAACATCATATTTCTTCTGGGTTTTCCTGTTAGAGAAGTTCCAGGATCAATCGTTGTGTCTTCTTATGACAACGACTGGGTTTTCTCAACAAACTCAAATCTGATTTCAGAATGGTTTGCTATGACAGCTTTTTCTGTTTCATGTAGAGAACTTCTTTTGTGTTCAACCTAGTCTGGGAATGGCGTGGAGATTGTGCGTGGAGGGGATGCCTGGTTACTCGGATCTGTACGTATAGTTGAACATCGAGGTGGTCATTGGTCTAGTTCAATGAAGTCCTTTTCTGCGAAGTCAAGTCGTACTCTAAATCCTTTGAGTTGTGATTGTGGACGGCATATTGATTATGGTTGGCCATTCTTTTTCGAGTGTAGTGGGGTCCTTTTGTCTTTGGATGTTCGTCTTTGGTGTTGTATGCTGATCTATATACTGCAAGGTATAATTTACATTTTATAAAATTTTTATTAGTTCGGTGTTTTAATTATGATTTTGGTTAGTTGTTTTCACAAAAGCTTTTTGTTTTAGTTCGTTTATTTTGAAGAGTTACTCACCCTTGAGTACCTCTTATTAAAAATAGAAGTGTGGTCACAAAGCGTGGATGTAGCGCGGTGGGTTAGGCCGGCTATAGAGCATGCTCAGGACGTCCTCTCTGGTGGGTTAGGCCTGGAGTGGGAGTATGATTTCGTGCGGTTTCTGTGAGAGGTCCTGTTATGTGATAACGTTTTATGTTGGGTTTATTGTGTCTTTTCTTATGTTTCGTTGGTTGTGTCCTTTTTTCAAAAATCAAATTGTTTTTGGTATGGGTTTGTCTTTCGACTTTTTTGTGTTTTATTATTTCTTTCTTAGACTTTATAATAGTCTTCAAAAGAATAAATTATCCAGTTTTAAACTGGGTTAATCCGGTTTGGGTACCGTTGGTTTCCTTTCCTTAGTCAAGCTGTTATTCTATGATTTGTGGTGTTTAGTAAGCTGCATTGGTTAGTTTTGTTTAGTATATAATTCCTTTCCAACCGGGTTAAAGGAAAGTTTGAAACTTGTTATCGTGTGTTAGAGTTAAAATCATTATTTAAACAATTCTTCGTGGGCGAGCTGTGCGAGTTTGGATAGAATTCTTGTGCGAGTGAATGAAAATATCAAAAGGTTAGCACTGCATTTTCGTTTTATCAATTTACTACATAGAATTTCAATTTTACTGCTAGTTTTTTGGGGAAAAATTAAGTTACAAATTTTCATCATTATTAGAATTACTGCTTTTAGGGAAATAATTTATAAAATAATTTACTACATTGGTATGATTTTTATTGAATTTATCTAGTGCAAAATATTAATAGAGTTTTGAAGAATTTGAAGAAGTTTTCTATTTTTTATTTTTCTTTTGTGTAATTTGTAGGTGATCCTGGGATGAAGACTAAAAATCTAAATAAGACATGGATAAGAATGGTTAGTATTTATTTCAAATTTATTAGTGAAGAATATGATAAATTATACTTAACTGTTAGTCGTCGGGGAAAAAACCGTGGGGGAAGATGTCGTGTATTATGTCGGAGTTTGTTAGTAATTTTGCTAGTATGCGAATGATGTTTTTAGTTTGAAGCAGTGGCCAAAGCAATTGAAGTGCTTTAATAGTTTTTAGTTCTTCAGTGCCAACTGCAAACTGATAAGGTGTGTTTTGGATGAGATTATATAATTTGTGATTGTATTTAGTGTTGTGAATGAATTCTAATATCGGGATTTCTATAGGTTGGATAAATTCATGTGGGATAAGGAAGGGTCTGGATTCTTCTGCGTTGAAGGTCTTCGTGATGGGACAAAAAATATACATTTGGGTTATGGGATCATAATTGCGAGGAATACCGTGAAGGTTAGTATCTTTGATGCAATATGTGAAGTTAAGAAAAAATGGTGATGTGTATTTAGAGTTAATAAATTGAAAACGGTGGTGTGGTTGTCTTGATGGAGTGTGTAGATCAAAATGATTTTGTATGAAGCCATAATATGTATATGTGTGGGTTTGTTTAGTGCGTAACATAATGTCGTGTGAGCAGTGCAAATCGCGTTCTTGTGGTGCAAGGAAATTGAAGGTTAGTGAAAATAATTGAAATCTTTCTTTAAAACTTTCGTAAGCTTGCATGTCGGTTAGTGCTTCAGAAATGACGTGGTCGAATTTGCGATCAAATATTTTGAGTGTAAATACATATGGTGTTTTTATGAAGAATTTTTCTGTGATTTGTGGGTTAGCGAAACGATCATCATCTAAAAATTGGTCTTGGTTAGCTCGGATGATGTTGTGATCGTAATATTCTAGCGTATATTCGTTAGCTCGGGGTGCAGTGTATGTTTTTAGTGACTTTTTATATCCTATATAAGTAAATTGTCTATGTGTTAGTGGTGTGGTGAGTCGATATAGCATATCTTGATTTCTTTCTATATCGATGTGAGTATTAGATAAAGGTAGGCAAAGGGGGTTAGTAAAATGATAATATGATGTCCAATGAAGTGTAGGCATTAAAACTTGTTCATCTACAAAACTACGTGTGTCGTTAGTGTTGTTAGAAGTGTTCAAAGTATATTGTGGAAATGAAGGTAGGGTGATTTGCTAAAAAATCTTTCGTGTTAGTGTGATTTGGATGATTAATATATTCACGGGCTGTTCCTGGTTTTGTTGGAAATGGATGGTTTGGGAATTTTCTTTTGAAAGTGCGATAAGCTCTATTAGTGCTATTTGATGATTCGGTGGATGTGAATGATGGTGCTAATGATGCGGCGTAAGCTGAAGAGGGTGTAGGGGTAGGTGGGTTTGATGATTCTATTGTGGATGAAATCTGATTTATAGTGGGGTTTTCAAGGTGGAAGGGTTGTTGTTGTAGGGTGATAAAATTATCTAGTTCCTGGGAGATTTGGGGAGTATCTGGAGAATTGGATGATCGGTCTGAATGAAATGAAGAGTAGGTTGGGGTGACTTGTGAAGCATAAGAGGGTGTAGAAATGGATGGGAGTGGGTTATTTGGTGGGATTGGTTGAAAAGGGGGTTTTGAAAAAACTGAGGAGTTGGTTTGAAAATTATTGGATGGAGATGGTTCAGAGTCTGCAAATTCATCAGGGGTTTCAATCTTTGGGTTATTGAGTTGTGAAATGGAGTATAAAACTGAGATATGTGAATTAGTGTCTGAATTCATGCCTGATGTTACATTATTGGATGGGAAATCGGGTGGCGGGAAAGCAAAAAGTGGAATTATTGTAATTGGAGTGTTGAGGTTGATTGGATGGAAATTTGAGCGGTGTAGGGATCCAAGTTGTCGGCTCATCGTGGGCTAAAAAAATTATTATTTTGAGACTGAAAAGCGGTGGTATGGGGTTGTTCTATAATTTGTTCATATGTATTTTCATCTAGTGAATGATGTGTCATTATATGTTGAATGGGACTTTGTGATATGGTTGGTCTAAAATTTGGATTATGTGTTATTGCTAAATTTCGAAAATTTCGTGGGACTAGGGATAATGGATAGTTATGTGGTAGGGGTGGTAACTGTGGTGCTGTGGGCGTTATTTCTACATTGTTATGTTCTTCGTCATATGTGTTCTGTCTTGTTGCTATTTTTGTGTTGTATTCTTTTATTTGTGCGTCTAAATGAATTTTGTTTATTGATGATGAAAAAATTCCAAAAAATCCTGCAAATAGTATGCGTGCTACACTTGCTTGTCTATTTACTTGTGTGTGTATAGCGCATGTATTATAGATTCCTTTTAAAAGTAAAAAAAGAAATCCTATAAAGTTAAACATTGCGTATAAAATAGTTAATTTTTCTAAGATGTAATAGGGCCATCCTAGAAAATCAAGAATTTCATTTTTGAGTGTAACAAAGCTAAAAATATTTATAGGTGAGATATCTTGTGGTCGGTAATTTTCACCGTTTAGATATATATAGTCTTTAATGTCTTTAAAATATCCGCTATAGTGTTGTGTATAAATATCTGCAAATCCTGCGGTTTCGGCAAGTTTGCGTAAGTTTTGGTCAATTGATTGTCTTTGTATAGTGTCCATTTGTGTTAATAATTCTTGGAATTGTTGTGTTCTAATGTGATGTTGGATATTGGACTTTGAATATATTCCAATTGACTGTAGGTCAATATTTGGGTTTCGAGCAATAGCTCTAATGCTTTCAGGTGAAAATTTTTTGAGTGATTGCATTAATGTGGGATATGGGGTAAGAAGGTAATATTTATCTTC